TTTTTTTTTTTTTAAGATTTATTTATTTGACAGAGAGAGAGAGAGAGTGAGAGAGGAAATACAAGCAGGGGGAGTAGGAGAGGGAGAAGCAGGCCTCTTGCTAAGCAGAGAGCCTGATGCAGGGGCTCGATCCCAGGACTCTGGGCGAAGGCCTGAGGTGAAGGCAGACACTTAACCCACTGAACCACCCAGGTGCCCCAATACTTGTTAGTATTACTATAAAAATAATCTTTCCCTCACAGGCACTCTACAAAGGTATCAGCAATCTCCACAGGTTCCAGGTCATTTTAAGAACTAGTAACCTAGAACCAGATGTTAAACATATGTTAAATGACATACTTAACCTAACCTTCTCTATAACAGTAAATCACTCAAAGATTATTTCAGTACCTATATGTGAGGATACCAATGACTTCTGGGAAAAAAAGAAAGCTGGGATGAAGTGAGGAAAACCCTTTAACTGAATTTGCAGGCAAGATTTCTTTAAATAAAGAAAGAAATGAAACAAATAAAGAAAATGTTATCACTTTATTTTATCTAAGTGACCCTTTTCAGCACTTTTGGAGCATTTTATCATTTATATGTTTAACATGTTAATATTAATTACATTTTTAAAAGACCTTCAAGAGTTCAGATTCCTCCCCTCCCCCATCAAGATTTATTTATTTATTTTAGAGACAGGGAGAGAAGCACAAGAGGCAAAGGAGAGGGAAAAAGAATCTCAACCAGACTCCCCAGTGAGCATGGAGCCCGACAACCCCAAGATCACCACCTGAGCCATTATCAAGAGTGGGACGCTCAACCAACTGAGCCACCCAGACCCCTAAAGACCACAGATTCCTTGATGTACATCTCTCCACAAAAAATCCTCTTGTAAAAAAAGCAGTAAGGGGCATCAGACTGGCTCAGTTGGTAGAGCACAGGACTCTCAATCTCATGGTTGAGTTTAAGCCCCAAGTTGGGCTTGGAGACTGCTTAAAAAAACAAAAAAAAAGTGACTTCTTTATGTTACACTCTGTAAGTAATTAGACACGTTTATAAATCATTCTTTGAAAAATAATTTGGTAAGAATAAAGGGCTGCACACATTCCAAATTGGAGTTATTCCTGAGTGTCCATTTTGACCTGGTGCTTTCGTAACATGGATATAGTGTACTAATGAATGTCTTTTGTCGAAATACAGTATCTATTTAGCTAGTTAATTTCTTTTTTTTTTTTTTAAGATTTTTTTTTTTATTTATTCATTTGACAAATAGAGATCACAAGTAGGTAGAGAGACAGGCAGAGAGAGAGGAGGAAGCAGGCTCCCCGCTGAGCAGAGAGCCCGATGCGGGGCTTGATCCCAGGACTCTGGGATCATGAACTGAGCCGAAGGCAGAGGCTTTAACCCACTGAGCCACCCAGGCGCCCCTAGCTAGTTAATTTCAAATGGAAAGCTACTCAACTCCATAAAAATCTCAGTAATAAATCATTAAAATAATGTATTTGTGAATATACATTAATGAGATGATGTTTATGTGCCAGATCATTCTGATGGGGGACAAAACAAAATGAGAAATTATCTCTACAATAAGGATCTTCAAAATTTGTGGAGACAAAATATCATCTAGTTAGGATATAACAGATTTATTGCTAAATTAAATTTGTCTACATTGCTCCATGTGGCACAGAAGAGCAAGCCTCAGAAAGTAATGGAGTCACAAATAGAAAGTAATGAAGCAGAAGCTTTTAGGAACTCCATGGATTAACAGATTTTCAATAAACATTCTCAGGCACTTACTATGTGTCTGTCAAATTTTACTTCAGTCATATTAACTATGGAATATCAGCAAGCTAGCTGGATACAGCAGACACCTGGAAATCCTAGGTAAGAAACTTGGACAACAAGGTGAGCATAATAAAGGACAGCGAGGACAAGAAGAAAAAGGATAGAAGAAGAAATTCATGACATAGCCCCCATATACATTTTAAAAATAACCCCAGGGGTGCCTTGCTGGCTCAGTTGGTAGAGCTTGTGACATTTCATCTGCAGGTTGTACAATGAGCCTCACACTGGGTACAGGGACTACTTAAAAATAAAATCTTTAAAAGTGAAAAAAGGAGAACCACAGCAGAGAAAGTAGAGAACACTTTTTTGTTTTTTTGTTTTGTTTGTGGAGTCTACCAGGGAACTGAACTCATGACCCTGAGATCAAGACAAGCTGAGATCAAGAGACAGACTGATGTTAAATGACTACGCCACTGAGGTGCCCCACAGAAACACTTTTATGTGACACCCCAATTAACATGGTGCAGAAGAGTTTGGTAAATACTGATTTATAAATAAGTGGATTAAAATGAAATAAAAGGACTGGTGCAAAGAAACACAGTATAAGTGAGATGTTTATAGAATTATCAAACCTAGTCATATTTATGAGAGAGAAAAGTCATCGAGAGTGTCAGGGATAGGCAGAATAGCTGGGCATGGAAGAAAGATTTTTTTCCTGCACCAAAAGAAAAAGGAAGAAAGCCTAGATAAAAATAAAAGAGTAGCATGAAGTTGAAGAAATTAAATGTTTATAACAGATGGAGATCTACCTTTCTTAGCTAAGTTAAAAAAAAAAGTAATTTATGGGGTTGATGGATTTTAAAGACTGGGATATAAAGTTTAAAAAGAAAATAAGTTTGTTATTGACAATATGCAGAAAAAAAGTAACACCAAGATTAATTAGTGAAAATGCAAATGTAAACAATCAGAAAGTAACCATTTACAGAAAGCACTCTATATTTTTAAAAATTAGGGAAGCTGTGGAAAATATATATAAATTAAAAATTAATACCTGATTTATTCACAATAGTTGGCTAATTAATAATCTACCAATCAGTTCCAGATCATCATCATGTCTACCTCTTCAAGCAAAAAACATTTAGTTAAACATTTTTTTAAAGAAAATTTTTAGAGTTATACACTTACCAGTCTTCTTAATTATACATTCGACTCTAAATTAATCTTAATCTCGAACATCCATTGTTGCTGCACTGGAACATCTGCTGCTGCTGCATTACTGTGCAGCAAATAATTCTATCTTCTTTAGAGCTCTTCTATGTCTTTCCCAGCTGTCAAGATATAAAGCAACTACTTCTACAGTTTACGTTTTTCCTTAACACCTCTACAACTAGACTGCTTTAACAACTTGTTTCTAGTCTGTCTCCTGTAACCCAGTTTCTCAAACTTTCCTAAGTGTGGACCTTCATGAAAAACATGAGAATCCCTCTCACCAGGACTTGACCCATTGCTAGGCAAGTAGGAGGGTTGCTTTGTGTATTACAAAATTCAGGAAACAAGTGCTCCATGTATTTCCTTAAACTTTCTAATCTAGGACATTTATATATATAAATCAAAATACGACTTTTGGCTTAGTGGAGAGTAAAAAAGAGTACACTTTCTGGAAGGAATTACTTCAGGGAGGGAGGGGAATTTGCATGAGGCCATTTGAAATTTTAGGAATTAAGTCTTCTAACCTACTCTTCAAAATGCCTTGGTAAAATACTGTTATTAATACTCAGTATAGAAAGTGTAACACTTCTGGGCAATAGATTATTGGAATGAGAATTCAGGGCAGAAAAGAACGGCTGTCGAGAGATGAATCGCGTGAAAAGTAGGAACACTCTATAATTTTTCTAGTAATGAAAAGAGTGATTTACTTACTACTTGCTGTCATTATTTCTCAACTTTGAAACTTTTCCAATGACTGGATCCAAAACTGCTAAATAAATGAAGTACAACTGAGGTGTTTGATCACTCTGCTAGAAATCAGTCTCCAGATATCATTATTTACCTTTTTCAGGCAGAATTTCCAGGACTTTCCTACCTATCCTACGCACTCTAGGAAACTGTAAATTTACTGTCGCCTTAAGAATGCCCTTCGCTCACTCACACCTCCACCTAACAAAGTCCCACCATTCTCTTTTAGTATATAACATTTCCAAAATGCCACCGATTTCAGGAACACTTTCCTGATGCTGGAAATAGAGACTTATGCGTCTTAAAGTAATCTACCAGGTGAAGTTACTGCAACCATCACGTGCATTTTAAGAACTTTCATAATCTTTCCTACACCGTGCATCGGTTGCACTGAGCTCACCATCAAAGTCCAATTGTAAGCAATCTAAAGTACCGTAAGGTATGGAACTGCACCTTAAAACGCCAACAGAGTACCTAAATAGCTCCAAGTATGTAAACCGTACACAGCACATCAAATTTTGTTGTGATTCCACAGAAACTCATTTTCTACTCAATAACTATTATGAAGTGATCAATAACCATTTAAACAGAGATCTCAAAGTTTTTCCAAATAAGTAAGTAGCCTTCTAACTTATTTCTCCGATTTCAGGTTTGCAAAATGCAGCTTTTCACAACTACTGTATAAAGGAGTGGTGAGAACTTTTTCCTCCCTATCAAATTCAATTTTTATTATTGAGATTCTCGGGGAGACAACGGTAGAAAACCTCACTGTAGGCGTCTAGAAGCCACAAATGAATCTGCTTAAGTAAAAAATGTTTTATAGACTACCAACCGACCGGAGGACCGAAAGCGATGCAGCATAAATGGGAGGAAAACAGGAAGCCAAGGATGACTGTCACAAAGGGTAGGGCTACTCCCCAACGCCGGTAGCACGAGGGCCCGTCATGGCGGCAAGGCTAATAGCAGCCATGAGAACGGAGCACGCCCCCTCCGCGCGCACCCGCCGCTGTGCGGGGCCTCGGGGCCGGTCACCGGAGCTGCCGCAGTCGCTGCCGCCGGTGGCGGCTCTCCAACACCCCCTCACGGACTGTAGCGGAATTTTATCCCCAAACACCACCTTCAAGATGGCGACTCCCCCTCCCGACAACCCCTTCAACCGTCCAAGCAGCAGCCGTAAATTCGCCACCATCTTGTTCCCCTCCCTCCCCACTCCCCCTCCAATATTTACATAGCAGAAAATCTTTCCGGCCTGCCTGCAGCCTTCACCTCACGCCCGCAACCTTCGCCTCTTAGTTAGGCCTCGGCATCGCGAGGAGCCGCAGGCGGGCCTCGACGCCGTCTCTCCCTCCACCGGGTATCCCCCAGCCTCCCTTACCCCCCGCCCCACCCCCCAGTCAACGGAACGCACCTCCGCCGCAGCTCAGGGCGGTCAGGCTCCTCCCCGGCCTAACTGCGGCCTCCTCCGGGCCTGCTCTAAGCCCTCCGCCTTACCACCCGGTGTGGGCGGAAGGGCGTCTCCCGGGCCCCGGACTAGGCCACGCTAGTAGCGTTAGGCCCCACGGCAGTGGCAGAGCCCGGAACTCACCGGATGCGCGTGCGGACAGTCGGCAACCCGGCCGAGCGCTGCAGGCCGGCCTTCCTTTCGAGCACTGGGCCGGGCTCCGGCTGGTGGGGCGGGCGGAGGGAGGGAGGAGGGGCCGAGCTCGGAGCTGACAAAAAGCGGCCCAGCTACCCGGCTAGGGCCCACCGTCAGCACGTCACGTCACCGCCGGGGAGAGATACCCAGGAAAATGCGGAAGGGTTGACAGGATCCCGCCGAAGTGCGGATACCCCGGTATCTGGTATTGGCGCCACTCAGGCCCCGCAAGCGGGGAGCCCGGTGGCCTCCTAAGCGGCGGGGCCTCCTAAGCGGCGGGGTCTCCGTCGGCCGAAGTCTCTTACAACGTTCTTTCCTCCTCCGCGCACTCTCCAGTCGCCGCCGCACACGCGCTGCTGCTGCGGCTTCGGCCGTAAAGCCGCCGCGAAGCCGTGGTCTGGCCACCCTGGCGTGGCGGCATAGCTGGCGAGGTAGCCGGCACCGGACCGGCTCTGGTCGGCCCCAACACCCCCCCCCCCCGTCTCCCTGGGCCTCATTCACCCCTGGGCCCTCCCTGGAGACCATCCGCCTCTTCGCCTCGAACTGCCTTCTCGAGGTGTTTGCAAGTCCTCAAACTCCCGCGCGCAGAAAAAGTGTTTTCCTCATTGCTGTGACTGCAGGAAAAATTAGCAACCATCGCCGTTTTTTATCTTCTCTTAAAAAAGAAAATTCTTTTAAGTAAAATGAAAATTCGCTTGCCAGAGTAACTGAGTACATCGACAAGGAAAGAGGAAGAAGGGTTATCCTGGAGCAACTACTAAACCGCTTAATAAAAAAAA